ATTTATGAAGCCTCAGGATTCTTAAACATATCCCAAGATCCTGATTATTATCACTAATATTCTCTAACACTTATAATGGTTATATTTTTATCTCTATTTTTCCCACATGTGCAGAACCATTTAACGTGTGACTCATTCTCAACAGAAAATCATCTCGACCATTCAAAAGACCTGGAATACCAAGTCAAACAACATCTATATGCTGATTCCGGAGGATCTTGGGCTTATCAAACTTCTTGTTGATTAGCTTAGACTATAAATAAAACATGTAACTCGCACACTACACATGCGATTAGCTCTACCATTACACTTACACTCGTATTACCTTCATCATCTTTGTAATCTCAAATTTAAATCAATAAAACATATCAAGACAGGTTATCATTATCATCTCCTAATGTTTTATGTCGGAGATCCAACAATGGATCAAGGGCTTTCCTTTTAACTCACCCGTCTTACTTTGATCATTATTCTACACTTACATTGCACTAACACCACAACCTCACCTTGGTTGGTATCCACTTAGTCGATTTTTGACCAAAACACACACACACACACACACACACATATATATATATATATATATATATATATATATATATATATATATATATATATATATATATATATATATATAGTTATTGGCATATATTGTGACTTTATTAAAAGCATCATTAAAGAATATTTATAACTAGAAAAGATTTTGCGTGTTGCGGGGTTGGAATACAAATTAAATAAGATGGATATTATATAAAATCTATGCATGTTAGCACACATTGGCAATGTACTCTGAAAAAACAGCCCAAATAAATAGAACTTCCAAAATACAATATTGTAATAACAATTGGAAAAAATGAAAATATGATGTTATAATCAATAAAATATTACATGTCATTGATATTAAAAATCCTATTTTTACTATTTTAAACAAAAACAACCAAATATATGGAGGGCTACAGTGGGTTTTAATAACCACTTACCATATCACTGCCCACCACCGGCTTCCATCTGCATGAGTAAGCACGTCTATTAAAGAACATTATGTTCATCAGATTATGACTAAATCAGATTCCTAAAACATAAGAAGATCATACCAAAAGCTAAAAAACACATTAGGTAAACAAAAAAAACAAAAAGAAACAATTGTCGTTTTCGGTTCAAAATGGAGGCGATTCCAACAAACAACAAATAAGCCACACTTAAAGTATATCATTTTTATGGAAGAAAAGTTACCCTTAAAATAAAAAGGAAAAAACAAAGAAGATTAAAAGTTAAATTTATATTTGAAACCTGAAATTCGAGCTTATTTTTCTTAATCAGGCGTTTTAGATATTAGATGGTACTTGTAAAATAATTTTTACCATTTATGAGTTTTCTACAAAAACAAAAAGCAGCAATATGTATAAATAACCAATATTGGAAGTAAAAAATGTTAAAATAAAATCACAAATGCCAATGGGTTTTCCTTTTTAGTTTTATTCCTTAATTTGGCTATAGGATGCTCTTTCTAGTTTACTTTGGCTACAAATACCGGAATTGTATTTTATATGTTACCCATAAACAGTAAATCCACCACCAAAAGACAAATGTTCTTTGTCTCACTTCTTCTTTGCTGCAAAGGAGAGAAAAAACAAAATAATTATTAATAAATTGTTGTTTCGTCAAACAAAATAGTCATCAATTATCATGTTCCATTACGCTGTTAAGATTCTATCAGATTACCCAAATTTGGACATGAATAGGTTTTTAGTTCCATATTGTAATATTGTAGCTATTATACTTCTTTGGAGTATGAAAGTTTATGTGCATTAGCATTTTTTTTATGTCTAAACACATCTGTAACAATCTTGAATCCATCTTGCCACGATGCTAAAAAAAGAGATAAAACAATTCTTTCAGATCATTTAAAGTTCCTAACTTTTAACCATGTAGCCAGGTGTTAACATGCATATATATATATATATATATATATATATATATATATATATATATATATATATATATATATATATATATATATATATATATATATATATATATATATATATATATCTTTACTACTTATAAAAGAAATCTAACTATTTCTATAAATAGATTGAATATAATAATATTATTTTTTTAAGACGTACAAACGATTAAGCTAATATTACAAACAACCATTAATAAAATAATATTAAATTTTAAATTTGTTTTGATTCCTTATATTTCTCAGCAAAATCCTAATTTCATGGTCATTCAAAATTTAAAACCTTTTCATCCTAATACGCTTCAACAAATATCCTTTAAATGTTGCATTTGCAGCTGATTAAAATATCTCATAGCAGACGTGTGTTTGTTCTCTCCACCTTATAAACCCTGCTATAAATCCCACTGCCATGAAGTATTTCCCTTATAAACCCTAATCGTTTTTCTCCCTCTCTTAGACGAAGACAATGTGTTTTTTTTAAGAAAAAAAGTTTGAAAATATTCCAATTTCTCAAAAAAATTTACCCCAAATGCGAAACTGGGTAAAATTTTCCATTTTGCGAAGACTACAGGGATGCGAAATGAAAATTCTGCACTTTTGTCTTTTTATGACCCCATTTTGCGAAGTTGGACCACTTATATTATTTCTTGAAAAGATCAGGTGCCAAATGCGAAACTCTAAGCTTTCTTCCCCAATTCGCATTTATACATTAAAAACTTCGCATTTTCATTCAAATTCTTCGCATCTTGCATCCATCCGTCTTTGAGTTCATTCGCATTTCATCGCATTAACTGAGAAATTAATCAGTTGTCTCATATTCGCATTTCAGTTGTTTGAGAAACCCAGATACGAACCCAAATGCGAAACCCACTGATTTCAAATGCGAACCAACCAAAAATCATCAACCACGTACTTGTGTCACCAAATGCGAACTGAATATCACCATTAAATTCTCCTCGCATTCCATAGATGCGAACACAATCCAGATCTCCGACTCCAAGCTTGCGAAATCAAAATCAATTAACCTCAAACAAATCGTGAACTTCTTATGCGAACTGTTTTGACCCACAAAACCAAATGCGAACTCAATTGATGTCATATGCGAACTGATTTCATAGATGCGAACACAATTGATTTCATATGCGAATCCACATCCATCGATATGAAACCAATACCAGTTACAAGCAATTAGTAGCAACAACCATCGATCCTCTAATTTTCAATTACTCAGCCTTCGCTTTTCATACAACCCGTCGACCCTGAAAAATCGATAAACACCAAATGTCTCATTTTTAGATCGATTTTCTGATTAAATGTCATATTTGAAGAATGATCGATTTTCTGATTAAATGACCCCATTTTGCGAAGTTGGACCACTTATATTATTTCTTGAAAAGATCAGGTGCCAAATGCGAAACTCTAAGCTTTCTTCCCCAATTCGCATTTATACATTAAAAACTTCGCATTTTCATTCAAATTCTTCGCATCTTGCATCCATCCGTCTTTGAGTTCATTCGCATTTCATCGCATTAACTGAGAAATTAATCAATTGTCTCATATTCGCATTTCAGTTGTTTGAGAAACCCAGATACGAAGCCAAATGCGAAACCCACTAATTTCAAATGCGAACCAACCAAAAATCATCAACCACGTACTTGTGTCACCAAATGCGAACTGAATATCACCATTAAATTCTCCTCGCATTCTATAGATGCGAACACAATCCAGATCTCCGACTCCAAGCTTGCGAAATCAAAATCAATTAACCTCAAACAAATCGTGAACTTCTTATGCGAACTGTTTTGACCCACAAAACCAAATGCGAACTCAATTGATGTCATATGCGAACTGATTTCATAGATGCGAACACAATTGATTTCATATGCGAATCCACATCCATCGATATGAAACCAATACCAGTTACAAGCAATTAGTAGCAACCATCGATCCTCTAATGAGGAAACAGTTTCCTATTCGATTGTGCTTTGCAATGACAATCAATAAAGCTCAGGGACAAACAATTCCATATGTAGGTATCTATCTTCCAGAACCAGTATTCTCGCATGGACAACTTTATGTTGCATTGTCCAGAGGGGTTTCACGTTGCAATACAAAAGTATTAGTAAAGCCTAACGAAAATTCAAAAGGTGATGGGGTTTATACAGCAAATGTGGTGTATAAAGAAGTATTGCACGATTAATATTTTGTGTCGTCTTGACTGGTTGCTTTTTATTGGTTATTTGATGCATGATGTAACAAATAACACCATAGTTTGATTATATTGTCTTCAACATGTACTTTTTTTTAACATAACAATTTTGTAATGGAAACATATCACCGAAAGAACTCACGTGCCCCGCCGCTTTGCGCGGGTAGACGGCTAGTATATATATATATATATATATATATATATATATCACTACTAGAAAATGGGTGCAATAGCTACGGCACAATCCGTAGCTATTCCGTAGCTATAAGCGGATAGCTACGGAATTGCTACGGAAAATCGACTGTAGCATAATAGCCCGTGGCTAAATTATAGCTACGGATTAGCTACAAAATCGCTACGGAATAGCTACGGAATATTCCGTAGCTACTATAGGTACGAAATAGCTACGGAATTAAATAGCTACGGATTTCCTACGGAATAGTTACGACACTATATAGCTACGGAATAGCTACGGAATAAAATAGCTACGGAATAGCTACGGCTACAAATAGCTACGGAATAGCTACGGAACAAAACAGCTACGGAATCGCTACGCAAGTAAATAGCTACGGAAATCCGTAGCGATTCCGTAGCTAACTTCATTTTATTTAAAAAAAAAAAGTAATTTAAAAATTTCCAATTTTTTGTCAAATACCACATTAAATTCACATTTATCCCAAATACCATATAAAATACACCAAAAAACGTCCGTCATACCAAGTTTGACACATTCCAATCCATTATCCAAAATATCTTACAAAAGTAAGCACCAAACAAAACAAACAATATCAAATATTTACAAACTAAATTGTTCCAAAATACTTATCAATTGTCCTCAGGTGGATTATCAGGGGGAGCACGGGGTTGATTTCCAGACATATTCATCATCCTCATAATCATTTCCATTTGTTCCTTCATTTGTTGTTGTTGTTGTTCCATGGTAGAAACTTGTGCACGCAACCTATCAACCTAAAAAAATGGCAACACAATACAATAGTTAAACAATATTAGCAATGTACTTTAGTTTATTATATCAATATTATCAACATACTAATTAACGTTTAAACCATAACAACATACCTCTTGTTGTGTACTATCCGATTGGGTGGATTGGGTGGATTGGGAAGACGGTGTCCCAGTAATCACAAAATGTATATCTGATGCTCCTATGCCATAGATATCACCCTTCTTCTTTCCTTTTCTCCTAAATTGAATTTCCTCCCATACCCTCGCATCATCTTTATGGTTTGAAGAGTCTTCTCCGTGTTTTTTGGCCATCTCCTGTAGATACATCTCCTACAAATTACCAAAAAAGTATCATTGTCATGTACAAAAATACTAAGACATCAAAATAGATAATAAATGATAAAAGATAAGTTACTTGTGCTTCTTTGGCAGTTAGTGAGCAATATTCGAGATTTTCATGATCTCCCGCAAAATATCTTTTTTTCGCCTCAGCTGTACCATGCGTCTTCATGAAAACATCAAATTGTGTGGGTGGTTTACCCAATACCTTTTCCTACATAAAAATACAAAGTATAGTTGATGTAGTTAGTGTTAAAAAAATAAGATAATAAAATTTATAATTATGATACTTACTAAGTTGTTACGGTGCTCGTCAAATCCTATACTACCTGCGGTGTGCCTAGCTGTCGACCCATTAGCATCTGCGACTTTGCGGTTCTGCTGAGCAATTTTTGAATTCTTTCTCCACTTATCTGTCGACCAATGCTGTGAAAAGAAAAAAAAAATATAAGGATACTAATACAATAAGAGATTAAAATTCAACAAAATAGATAATAAAGTATCATATCCATTACATCACACAAACGTCGCCACACATTCTCCGGTACGCGCTCAGGGCGGTAGTCATGCATCCCTTCGAAGTAGGTACAATGACCTAAGGGGACGGGTTTCCCATCATTTCGTGCCATTTCCCCAGATTTAATCCTGATACGCTTCATCCGATCCCTGTATCTATCCTTGAGGACACACTTGAAGGCATCAAATATGTTACTATCTTCTAGTGAATTCCACCTGTACATGGTCTGTAAAAAAATAAAAAGTAAATCTAAAAATACAAAGTAAAAACAAATGAGTATAAGATACAATAATTTATATTTAATATATTGCCTTGAAACGCGAAAACATCTGCAAAAGGGTCTCATTGGGAATATCACTAAATCGGGGCCACGGATGATCCATATTCTCCCAATAGAGACTAATACACGTGCTGTGGATTTTCCTAGACCCAAACCTACATTGAAAAGAACTATATAAGTAGAATTTTAACATCAAAAATTAAAGTTTTAAAATATGAAAACACTAACTTTCTCCCTTTTCGGCTGATGAGGGGCAACGAACACTCCTGAAAATCACTCGCATTCGAGTCATGGCCGCCCGTAACACCTCTAGAGGTGGAGCCATGTGGCGTCGGTGGCGTGTTCGGTGGCCGTGGCGTGTGCGGAGTCTGTGGCGACCGAAAGTTTGTCTGTGCATCTGCACCCTCAAAATAGTACTCCTCAAATCCATCACGACCACCCGGCCTCAAAACCGTTTGTGGGGTCGGCAACTCAGCACCTGTATTTGGAAACTGAGGCGTATAACCAATCATGAAGCCTCGGTTAACAAGATGGCTAAAAACTAATTCTCTCGGAAGGTAATAAATATTTTTGCATTTCGCACACGGACATCTAATTTCAAAAACTTCCACCCCTTCCCTAATGATATGTTGGATGTTTGTTGCGTTCGCATAAGCAAAATCCAAAAACAAATTAACATAATGTGGCCATTGTGGATTAAACAAACGACGATTATCGAGTCTCTTTGTGTACATCCATTCTCTATTAGACAACATTTCGATCTAAAACTACATTTAGATATAAAAAATGTTAAAACTTTAAACTAAACATGAAGTAATAGTGTAACATCTCATTTAATCTAATATATATAACTAATGATACATAAAAAGCCCATAAAAATTATTAACATAATACACATACATAATACACATATATAACTAATGATACATATATAACATCCCATTTAATCAAACATTTTTAACAAATTTATAAAATTAGCCTAACATTTCAACAAAATTAACATTTTTAACAAATTAAAGTTTACAACATTTTTTATATATCACATTTCAACAAAATTAACATTTTTAACAAATTAAAGTTCACAACATTTTTTATATATCACATTTCAACAAAATTAACATTTTTAACAAATTAAATTTCACAACATTTTTTATATATCACATTTCAACAAAATTAAAATTTTTAACAAATTAAAGTTCACAACATTTTTTATATATCACATTTCAACAAAATTAAAATTTTTAACAAATTAAAGTTCACAACATTTTTTATATATCACATTTCAACAAAATTAACATTTTTAACAAATTGAAATTAACCATATATTCAACCAAGCTATGAAATTAACCAAATATTCAACCAAATTAAATCTAAATCCTTAAATTCGACATCACATTCAACAAAACTTATAAGCATTATCAATGAATAAAGCATCTAAATTGTATACATCAAGTAATTTCAAAAAAAAAAAAAAACACTAGGGTTTTACCTTTTAGGGAAGAATCGAGCTTTAGGCCGAGAGAGAGAAGAAAGCCGGCGACGGAGAAGAAACCCGGCGACGGCAGCACAGCTCGGCGACGGCGACGGCAACGGTGAGCTCGGAGGAGTCGCCGGCGATTGTTGGAACGAGAGGGGGGGGGGGAGAAGTTTGGTTCTTTCTTTTCTCTTTTCTCGATCTGTTCAGCGAACAGAAGTGTGAAAGGGTGGGGGAAATTTCGTGGGATATAAGGAAAATAGACTGGATTTTAATTAAAAACAATAGCTACCGATTTGCTACGGTCCAGCTTCGGAAGTTGCTACGGATTAGCTACGACCTGCAAAAAAAAAAAACGTGGGTGGGATTCGAACTCGGGTTTCCTACGCACAATACCACAAACTTACCAACCGGCCAGGCATGCCACATCCATACTAATATGCTTGCCTATCGTATTTAAACATCTTCTTATTCTTATTATTATTATTATTATTATTATTATTATTATTATTATTATTATTTCTATTATTATTATTATTATTATTATTATTATTATTTCTATTATTATTATTATTATTACTATTATTATTATTATTATTTCTATTATTATTATTATTATTATTATTATTATTATTATTATTATTATTATTATTATTATTATTATTATTTCCGTTAGAATTCCGTAGCTAATTAGCTACGGATTCGCTACGAATAATTCTTATTTTCGACATTTCGGACACCAAAAGTCGTTTTTTCCGCTTCGTTTTTTTCACACCTCTATTATACATGATTATCTATATTTTCTAACACTTTTAGCTATTAATGTCATTCATAAAGTCGTGTGCCCATACGGGATCCATTACACGTTTAATGGTGTTAAACTCTAATGCTTATCATCTACGTTCACATATAAATACTCACAAAAACGTATACATAGACATATACACATACATATATATCACAACTCATTCATGTCTACAAACATAAATCCATCACAAGTTGGTGAAAAATATAGTCATTATATTGTTAAAGCATTAAACGAGTACTTATTAAACGAGTACTTGATCCCGAAGGTGCGCAAGACTTTATGAATGATATTAATAGCTAAAAGTTGGTGAAACTAGATATAATTATGTATAATAGAGGTGTGAAAAAAACGAAGCGGAAAAAACGACGTTTGGTGCCCGAAAAACTGAAAATAAGAATTATCCGTAGCTAATCCGTAGCGAATTAGCTACGGACTAGCTACGGATTTCTAACGGAAAGCACATTCCGTAGCTAATTACGGATTAGCTACGGAATGTGCTTTCCGTTAGAAATCCGTAGCTAGTCCGTAGCTAATTCGCTACGGATTAGCTCCGGATAATTCTTATTTTCAGTTTTTCGGGCACCAAACGTCGTTTTTTCCGCTTCGTTTTTTTCACACCTCTATTATACATGATTATCTATATTTTCTAACACTTTTAGCTATTAATGTCATTCATAAAGTCGTGTGCCCATACGGGATCCATTACACGTTTAATGGTTTTAAACTCTAATGCTTATCATCTACGCTCACATATAAATACTCACAAAAACGTATACATACACATATACACATACATATATATCACAACTCATTCATGTCTACAAACATAAATCCATCACAAGTTGGTGAAAAATATAGTCATTATATTGTTAAAGCATTAAACGAGTACTTATTAAACGAGTACTTATTAAACGAGTACTTGATCCCGAAGGTGCGCAAGACTTTATGAATGATATTAATAGCTAAAAGTTGGTGAAACTAGATATAATTATGTATAATAGAGGTGTGAAAAAAACGAAGCGGAAAAAACGACGTTTGGTGCCCGAAAAACTGAAAATAAGAATTATCCGTAGCGAATTAGCTACGGACTAGCTACGGATTTCTAACGGAAAGCACATTCCGTAGCTAATCCGTAGGTAATTACCTACGGATTAGCTACGGAATGTGCTTTCCGTTAGAAATCCGTAGCTAGTCCGTAGCTAATTCGCTACGGATTAGCTACGGATAATTCTTATTTTCAGTTTTTCGGGCACCAAACGTCGTTTTTTCCGCTTCGTTTTTTCACACCTCTATTATACATGATTATCTCTAGTTTCACCAACTTTTAGCTATTAATATCATTCATAAAGTTGTGTACACATATGAGATCCATTACTCGTTTAATGGTTTAACACGCTTATGATCTACGTTCACATATAAATACGCACAAACACGTATACACATACACGTACACATATACCACAACTCTTTCATGTATGTAAATATACATATACAAAAATAAATTCAACACAATTTGGTGAAAAATATAATTACATTGTTAAAACTATGAAACGAATACTTGATCACGAAGGTCCACACGACTTTATGAATGCTATTAATATCTATAAGTTGGTGAAAGTATAGATAATGATGTATAGTAGAAGTGTAAAAAAAACGAAGCGAAAAAAACGACGTTTGGTGCCCAAAAAATAGAAAATAAAAAAAAATCCGTAGCTAATCCGTAGCTAATTAGCTACGGAGTTGCTACGGATTTTATTATTTTTGATTTTCCGGGCATTAAACATCGTTTTTTTCTTTTCGTTTTTTTCCCACCTCTATTATACACGATTATCTTTATTTTCAACAACTTATAGTCATTAATAGTGTTGATACAGTCGTTTGCACCTTCGAGATCCTTTATTCATTTAATGGTTTAATATTATATGCGTAGCTATTCCGTAGCCATTTTGTAGCTAAGTAGCTACGGAATAGCTACAGGTTAACATCCGTAACTATTCCGTAGCTATTCCGAAGCTAATTAGCTACAGAATGGCTACGGAGTGGAATCCGTAGTGATGTCGTAGCTATCCCGTAGCTAATTAGCTACGGAATACCTACGGAATTGAATCCGTAGTTATGCCGTAGCTATTGCGTAGCTATTCCGTTACTAAATTAGGGCGTTCATTTCTGTAGCTAATCCGTAGCCATTCCGTAGCTAATTAGCTACGGAATTTTTCCGTAGCTATTATCCGTAGGAAAACACCTTTTTTTCTAGTAGTGTATATATATATTCTATGCATAAACCTATCAAAAATGACAGCTTAATAAGAAACATAAGATATACAATCGGTTAAAACCATCATACATTTGGCAAACAAACTCCCAACAAAAGTCCTTTTGTTGTTTTAGTTTTAACAATTCCATAGTATCAATAGTATGCCCCTACCTGTTGCTGTGAAACCTACGAGTAAATGCAAACCCAAAATGCAAGCAAACAGTCAAGAACTATAATTAGGAAGTGAAAGAAAAAAACTATAAACCAAAGACTATTTCTTCTTAAAGACAAACACCTGATATACATTTTGAAAATGATAGGATAACCTTTTTACCTTTCTTTGAGGAGCGTCTGATAATGAAGTTGATCCAACATCTTTCAGTGTAAAACGAAAAAAAAATCATAATATGTAGAAGTGCCAAAATAATATAAAGGGACATACTAGTGATATTATGGAGTTTTTTTTTTTTTTTTTTTTTTTTTTTTTTTTTGAAAGAGACGATATTATGGAGTTGTTAAAACTGAAAAAACAAAAGAACTTTCTGTTGAGAGTTTGGTTGTCAAATGTACCATGGTTTGAATCATTATTGGTTCATGCTTTAGGCACATCACTCCATTAATGATCAAAATGAGAACATAAAATCATTCACAATAGCTAACTGAAGGTTGAAGTTGCGATATATACAACCTCAAAATCCACCAATGGCTGCTTCACTGTCGTTAGAATAAGATGCAATAGATTTTCCCAGTGACCATACTGAATTGCACTACAATTGAATCGGAAGAATCATATAAACATCAGTTTGACTGAAAACGCAAAATGGATTGAATAAGTACATATAACCTTAGTCGTTGTTATAAACATCACATAAGTTGTCCGCTAATTCGATTCCATTATTCTTTATACAATTAGATACATAAATCGTTGAAAAAATTGAAAGATGTAGAATTTCCGGTTGACGTCACCAAAAATCAT